TCTCTCTCTCTCTCTCTCTCTCTCTTTCTCTCTCTGTAGCGGATTTCGATGTAACACGCGATGGCTCCAGATGTCCAGCGGCGTGAAACTGGCTTTGTACTCTGTTCCCATGTCGAGAGTTTCACGATGGGAAAGCTCGAGCGCGCTCGAGGAAATATTCTAACAGGGATACACGCGCGCCAGGGAAACACGAAACGTAACTTTGTCGGAAACAACAACGCTGGACCTATTCGCGTCTCTCTGCGTTCGCGAGAGGGAGAATCGTAGAATTTGAAATCGTCGAGTGTCGCGGAACGTAAATGAAGTGGAAGAAAATGTAAACGTTTGAAGAGCAGAAAGGAAAGACGTAACGGAGGAAAAGGAAGAAGAAGGTGTCGAAGGGAGAATTCTGAGAAACAGAAAGTTTCGGTGGGGGGCAGATTTCCTCGAGATAGCTTTTTGCGAAAGTTTCGCGATTCCTCGGCGTTGGTTGTTGGCCAGAACGGAGGTGGCATCTGCAGAGGTGAAAAAGAGGGCAGAATCAGGAAGTAAAGGGACCGTGCGAGACCGCGTTCTCATGAGACGACTATTGTTCGCCACCGACACGCCGGAGGATTTGGGTCAGCGGTGGGGCTCACCGGCCCTCCCAGTTTCCCCTGGTTGCAAACCGCAAGCGTTCGTTGCTTTTTTCCTGCGGTTTTGTGGCGTCTCTTTGAAAGCTAGCTATGTATATCGTTGGCTAGCGATGGCAAAGATGGCAAAAGGGTGACTTGCAGCATGGCCGACGGGAAACGGTAAAAACAGCGTAAAACCCTGCGTGAAAACCCCCTTGTGTTCTCGATGCACTCACCCTCGAGGCACCAGGTCGAAGGTCGTCGGACAGAGAGAATTACGAACACAGGGGACCACGGTATTTACCGCCCGGAGGAAAAGGAATTTTCTCAACGAAACGTACGTAAACGAGCGGAGAGGAGAGAAAGGTTTCGCGAGATGGTGGACAGATAACGCGACAAAAATGTCCTCGACAGACGGAGTGTTTCGATTTTTCTCTTTCACCTTTTTCCTTTCTTTCTTTTCTTTTCTTTTTCTGTTTTTTTTTTCTTTTCGCGAATTTAATGAACGCGTACTTGTCAGAACTGTCCGTCGCGTCGTCGACCGAGATAATGATTTTTTCCATTGGCTGTGCACGGCCTCGGGTTTCGTGGTAAATCGCGCGTATCTCTTCGTGTCGTCCGCTCCTTTTCGGAGGAGGGTCCACCGTGTTCGGTTGCTTCATCCGGAAAGGAGGGACCGGTGATTACAGCGCGCCACCGTGATTGCCGAGATCGTTTGACTCACGAAAATGTCATTAGGATTTCATTACTTCCCAACCGCCTTGAGGAACGACTGTTTCTCGACGACGAGTTTGTGCAATGTTCCTTTCTCTCTCTCTCTCTCTCTCTCTCTTTTTCTCTCTGTTCCCCGTGATCCATCCATCTTTTTCCATCTCTGTTCGTCCTTCTTTCTGTCCCCTTTCGCGGTTACCCTTTCTGCCTCTTCTCCGCCTTCTCTGCTCTCTTCTCGCTCTGACGCCGTTTGATCCGACGAGATCCAGCTTCCAGAGCACGAAGTGGGTCAGCCACCTCGGTTGAGCAACTGTCACGAAGGATCGACCGATCTAACGTCATCTACCAACCGGATTGACATTTACCAAGGAAACTGAGGAATCGATTTGCGAACCGTTTTAGAACGCGAAGGATCTTTCGATTGGCGAAAATGTTGGTTCTTGGTCCACGCGCGAGAACCACGTCCCATGGTCAATCGTTCGCCAATAGTTGTCACGGAGAATCGACCGTCTTGCTGTCTTGACATTTGAACGATGCGACTGTGGAAACTGGACTGTCGTCTGGTCAATCGTGTAAATCGCTTCGCGATTGTTGAAACACCAGCGATTATTCAGTCACGATTAGATCGGCCGATCGTCAACTGGTTTTGCCTGGTTTCGTGCGTTCGACGACGATGAACGATCGGTAAGCTCGCGAGGCGAACGAGAACGATCTGCCGTCGATCACCGATCGAGGAGATTCCGCTATACATATCTAGTCGATGATTCTTACGTCGCCGTTCGACATCTGTCGTGCGATCTTTGGGCCGTCATTTCCCCTCCCCCCGCCCCCTCCCTCATCACGTCGATCGTTTCAGGTAAAACGAGATCGGGTTCGTCCTCGTCGACGGACGTTTCCGTACCGATTCCATCGACGCGAACGTTGAAACTCGCGGCGCGTAATCGTCGGTGATTTCGATTTTCTATCGCGAAACATTTCAGCGAAAATCTCTCGGACGATCTACGATACAATCGTAGCGATCGATTCCCTACGAATCGCACGATCGATTCGATTTTTGTCAAAACGACCGGACGACCCGTGCGTCGTTAAGGGTCGAGCGCGAAGCCGGTCCGGTGAACACGCGGCTCTCGTTAAGGAATAAAATTTATTAACATCGAACGCGAATTCCATCGCGACAGGTGCTATACGTATTCACACTTTGGGGCAGGGGCGCTGGCACGTCCGCGGCGCTACGAAGAAGCGGTTCATCCTGAACACAGCTCGAAGGACATCTTCGTTAAACCGCCGGCCACACCCTGAAAAAATACGACAGACGAACGAGCCATTAGAATCCAGCCGTTCGTGCCCGCCCTGCGTGAAAGTAGAAGCGGAACGACGTTCTTCGCTGCTGATAAACACGGGACTATCGGCAGACCAGGGATCGCGAGTTTAATCGTTGAATCTTCCGTCAATGAATAAAACATTCGGATATCGAGCATCATTAGAGACAATAGAGATAAACTGTTTAAACTGTTTTTAGTACTGCTATTCTATTTTTTTCAAATCACTCGTTCCAAATGGTTACAACCGTATACGCGAGACGACGTATCTTGCAACAAAATTCCATTCGATTTTCATTCGTCTTTCAATCATCACGGACTATACGTCTATCGTCCCTGAACGACACTGTGTTGTGTCGTTTGGTCGATTAGTCGAACAAAGCGAACGAAGGAATGACAGACGTGGTACTTACGTGAGTAGTCCGGGATTAGGATCCGCTTGGTACCACGAGTACTGTGGCATGTAACCCGCGTGGTGCGGCGGCGGCGGCGGCGGCGGTGGATGGTGGCCAGGCGTATGGGGGTGATGGTGGGTGTGCGGTGGCGCGTGTGGATGCGGATGGTGCTTCATCTCGCCTGGCCAAGAGGGTGCGGGTGGACTCTCGTTGTGCTGAGGCGACATCTCGCTTCCGGGGCTCGAACTGCCGGGGGTGTGACCCCCTGCGCCGCCTCCCATACCGCCGAGGTAGCCCGTCGTCGGGCTGCCCGACACGGAACTTCCGCCTCCTGAAACGGTAACGGAGAACGCTCGAGATCGATCCTCT